TCAAACATGTTTCTATCAACCTCCGTATATCTATAAACATTTTACTAACCTCCAACCCCCGAAATATATTTTTGTTGTCTCATACCGAGTTCCGAGTTCCGGGACCCCCGAACCCCGAAACCCGAAACCCGGAAGTCCACAATTTCGGGGTTCAGGAGTTGGGTCCCGGAACTAGGAACTCGGTATGTGAGACAAGCAAAATATATTTCAAACACGGGTAAGTCAATGTGTCCGTCAATCAACTCGATTGTAAATTATATTTTATTGATCTCCCCAAATTTCCCAAGTTCCGAGTTCCGAGTTCCGGGACCCCCGAACCCCGAAACCCGGCAGTCCACAATTTCGGGGTTCGGGTGATTGACGGACACATTGACTTACCCGTGTTTGAAATATATTTTGCTTGTCTCACATACCGAGTTCCGAGTGCCGGGACCCAACTCCCGAACCCCGAAATTGTGGACTGCCGGGTTTCGGGTTTCGGGGTTCGGGGGTCCCGGAACTCGGAACTCGGAACTTGGGAAATTTGGGGAGATCAATAAAATATACTTTACAATCGAGTTGATTGACAGACACATTGACTTACCCGTGTATGAAATATATGTTTGTCTCACATACCGAGTTCCAAGTTCCGGGACCCCCGAACCCCGAAACCCGAAACCCGGCAGTCCACAATTTCGGGGTTCGGGAGTTGGGTCCCAGCACTCGGAACTCGGTATGTGAGACAAACATATATTTCATACACGGGTAAGTCAATGTGTCCGTCAATCAACTCGATTGTAAAGTATATTTTATCGATCTCCCCAAATTTCCCAAGTTCCGAGTTCCGAGTTCCGGGACCCCCGAACCCCGAAACCCGGCAGTCCACAATTTCGAGGTTCGGGAGTTGGTAAAATTTGTATGGATAGATGAAAGGTTGATTTAAACATTTTTGAAAGATGTCCCATATGAAATGTCAAGTCCCAAGTTTTGATTTCCGGCTTTCTGGAGTCCCGAGTCCCGAAGCCCGAAGTCCCGACACCTGGAGTCCCGAAACCCGGAGTTCAAAATTCGGGACTTAACATTTCATATGGGACATCTTTCAAAAATGTTTAAATCAACCTTTCATCTGTCCATACACATTTTACCAACTCCCGAACCTCGAAATTGTGGACTGCCGGGTTTCGGGGTTCGGGGTTCGGGGGTCCCGGAACTCGGAACTCGGAACTCGGAACTTGGGAAATTTGGGGAGATCAATAAAATATACTTTACAATCGAGTTTATTGACGGACACATTGACTTACCCGTGTATGAAATATATTTTTGTCTCACATACCGAGTTCCGAGTTCCGGGACCCCCGAACCCCGAAACCCGACACCCGGCAGTCCACAATTTTGGGTTTCGGGGGTTGGTAAATCTCGGTTTGGGGTTTTGCACTGAAAAGTTGACATTTATACGTATCCAGGCTCACCCATATATGTACCCATCTATGTACAATTCCCCCACGTCAGCCCACCCATCTATGTATTATCCCCCACGTCGGCCCACCCGTCTATGTAATACATCCTATGTTGGCCCACCCGTCTATATAATACATACTACGTCGGCCCACCCATCTATATAATTATACCCCACCTCGGCCCACCTGTCTATGTAATAAATATTTTATCACACCCTCGGCCCACCCGTATATGTAATACTTTTTATGTCGGCCCACCTGTATATGTAATACACCCCGCGTCAGCCCACCCATCTATGTAATATTCCCCTACCTCGGCCCACCCATATATGTAATACACCCCCGTCGGCCCACCCGTCTATATAACAATATTTGCCTTACATCTCTCTTCAGCCCAGCTGTCTATAATATCCTACTCTACATATTACCCTGATGGGCCCACCCATCTCCATGAATGATCATATTCCCCCGGCCCATCCGTCAACATCAAGGATATATATATCATTGGCATACATGGGCCCACCCGTCTCCATCGGAAATAATATGTGTCCCGGCCCATCCGTCATCATCGAGAATATACACAACATGGGCCCATAATCCGCTGGCCCGTCTCATACGGGATATTATGTAGGTCGGGTGGCCCGTATAATACGGAATTTGTCACTGAAGGGGCTCAGGCTGCGGGGTAATGCAGAGTTTTGTCAAAGTTTCAGCCACATGACCATTGTTTTTGTCATGCAAACAAATGTTTATGTCACACAAACAAATGTTTTGTGCCCTGTGCAAAGTTTTCATGAAAATTTTGATTTAATTCAATTGTCCAGTCGCTCCCTCCATACTAAAATGCATGTATCTCCATTCCTCTCTGTATTTCCATGAATCGTTCAACACCCAAGTAGCACTTCACATCTGAGTCCATACACTCAGTCATATAGTTATTCCACATATAGTTATTCCAGCAGTTTTGCTACAGTAGTACCTCAGGCCCCAATGCCTGTAGCTCATGTATTATCACATCTTAAGCCCGTAATTCAAATGGCCAGTATATGATGTTTAATACCTGTTGTATCTTGGACTGTGAGTTGCAATGCCTCTTTGAATTAACAGTCGGACACAAGTCAGACAATACCAGCACTACTATGGATGATAACACTGAGCTTATTCCTCTTCCACTGGCTACAATATGTTTAGCATTTGCTGAACTTTGTCAACATATTAACACAGTCCTGTGAATGCAAGTTGGAGATGTTGCAAGACTGCAGGATGCTAAGCATGACTGTCTATGACTGTTCAGTGCTGTTGAACAAGTATGTAGTTGCTGACTCAAGTTTTGACAATGAGATGAATGTAAATAGTATACCAGCACACAGAGTTGGTTCCACACAATGAGATTCTTATCATCAAAACCAGTGTCCAGGAGATGCTCAATGCTCTTGATGATGCCGCGTTGATTTCTGTGGATGCACCTGATCACCCTCCTGTTCAATTCTCTCAGGTAATTCATACAGGTCACTGTGGACGTCCCCATGTAGAGATTGATTCAGATTTGTTGAGCATTGCACTTACAATGCGAGGACCAACACATCTTGCACCACTTGCTGTGTGCTCAGCTCGCACAGTCTGTCATAGGGCTCTTGAGCATGACCTTGTTGAACCCGGTCCACCTGTTTATGTTGACTTTGTCAATGAGGATAGTCATGAAACTAGATTTTATACTCAAGCATCGAGGAATCACTCTGGACTTTCTGATGATGAACTTGACAACATTACTCGGCAGATACTTAAAGTTTTCCCCCATTTTGGTCAGAGGATAATCAACGGGCATATGCAATATCTTGGACATCAAATCCCTCGCTGATGAATCCATGCATCATATACACATGTCCATGGTCCTCCCACAGGTTCATTTGGTCCTCGACAGATCCAGTGTTGAGTCTACAAGGTAGCGGGGCCCAAGTCACCATGATGGCCAGCATGGTTAGTTCTACCTGTCTTATTTCAAAGTCATTGCTCACTGTTGGATTGATCATAAGGACTGATATGATATTGAGTTGTTTTTCATGCCTTCATAGATGGGTTTTCCCGGTTCATTACTGGCATCAGGGCCAGTAATAACAACTGTGCAGAAACTATCCTTGATTTGTTCACAGAGATCATTGAGATCCATGGCTTGCCCAGTCATATACGAGGAGATCATGGGGTTTGTGGCTGGGATCTTATATCTGGGGCCGGTAAGAAACAATTGAGCATCACATGTTTCATATAATATACTATTTTATATTAGGAGTGTGCACAATGTGCGCATCGAGCAACTATGGTGCGACCTGACAAGCGGGTTTGGCTCCAAGTGGAAGGACTTCTTTCAGTGTCTCAAGGCACATGAAGGCCTCAATCCCGATCTAGAGAGTCATATGTGGCTCTTGCACCACCTCTTCCTAGATGCCATCAACGAGGATGCTCTGGAATGGGCAGAAGCATGGAACAACCATGTCATGTCCATTCAAGGTGAACGACACACCAGTCCAAGAGATATGTTTTTCTTCAGAATGTTAGAAAATGGAGTGCATGGTTTTGAGGGTCTTGAAGATGATGAAGATCTGGATGATCTAGCACCATATGGGATCGACTGGGAGTCTATTGATGACCGTCGTATAATTTATCACCATCATGCAAACAATGAAGATGAACTTGGCAAGAATCCTTTCATCACTCACCACCCACAGCAGTTTTCAGAGGTCATGGTTCCGGAGGCGGACAGCCCACTTTCACTCAAGCAAGTGCAGTTTCTTGGAATACAGCTTGAGGCTTTAATACCAGTCCACTCTCGCAGCATGGAATCCAGATGTTTTATTTGGTCTACAGCTTTACAGATTTGTAGAAATCTTTTTACGCATGAGGATGGTGTACTGTAGCTAATATGTGTACCTGCACGTAGTTCGCTGCAGCAGACGAATGCCAGCAGATGGCGACAAAGAAATAGAGAAGGAGACATGAAAAGATCAATGAGAGCAGCACTGCCAACTCCACTGCACAACATTCATAGGCAGTTCGAAACATTTTTCTTCCCACATCAAGGATCCCAGAGAAAAAGAGGGCAAGGGGATGCACGGCTAAGTCATGTCATGGGATGATTCATTTGTGAAGAGAACACGATGATAACACAGAATACACACCTTAGTAGAAGACTTGAACAAACACTCGTGCAACCCTCCTGATCTTGTGTGGATTGAATCCATGTATAGTTGTTCTAAGTGGGGCTTGTTGTAAGTTACATCATAGGTGACAAAGGAGTATGTACTGAACAGTGTCAAGTATCTTTGTGGAGACTTCTTGCAAACTTTTGAGAACCAGCACCAAAAACCTGCCGCGTACAACGTCACAAAGTCCCCAACCCTCTCGTGTAGAATGCCTCGTGCACATTGATCAACATTCATTTAGGAGAAATCACATAGGCTTGTTGACTCACCAATGAAAGCCCACTCGAAGACTCCAATGAGCTGCTCTGGCACATATAGTCCATATTATCCTCAGTTGAGAATCCCTGAATGCTGACCATATCTTCCACATCTGTTAAGATCAAAAAATATCAACAATAAAGATCTGAAAGATGGTCAGAGGCCATACCAAGCTGGTCCAAGGTGTTGCGCACCTACCCAGTAGGTAGTGAATCATCACATGTTTGATAGACAACTCACTTCAACTATGGGACCTGGGGAGATGTATACATGCACTATGGCAAAAATTGGTGAAATCATGAAGCCCAGTGAAGATGTCCACTTGATATGCTGGAGTCCAGATGGTGTGCTGGTTGTCTGGAGGAAATTAAAATCTGGGACGCGCTGATAATGATCACACAAAATTTCCTTTTCTGATTCGACCATTAGTTTTCACTCGAAAATTTTGAATTTCATCGTGCAACTATTTGTTTAATTTTGTCCAGCAGTGCCCCTCATAAAAAATTGATTATGTTCCTTTAAGAATAATGCTGTATTTTTCATCTATTGCCTTTTAAATAGCAGCTTACAATAATGCTAATTTTCTTCTTTGTGTTTTTCAAATATACACAGAACATTTGAAAAACACAGAGAAAAAAATTAGCATTATTGTAAGCTGCTATTTAAAGGACAATAGAAAATACAACATTATCCTTGAAGGAACATGATCAATTTTTGCATAATGTCCCACACACAAAAAATCATTAAAACATGAATTACTTTTTTCTGATGTTTTGACAGACAAAATGAGAGGAAAATTCTATCTTCTCAATCAATGTTTTTTGGATGTTTGGTGGAGGAAAATGGGAAAATGCCTACAGTGACAGCCCATACTCCCTCAACCCTAATCCAAAGACCTCTACATCACCACCCTCTGCCAGAGATTGAATCAGGAGACAATTCCAAATGAATAGTGCAAAAAGTCCTAGACTTGAGAATGCACAGGTCCAAACTTCAATACCTAGTAGAATGGGAAGGATATCTAATTGAAGAAGCAACATGGGAACCTAAGAAAACCTAGAGAATGCACAATTGAAAATACAAGAATTTCACTGGCAAAACTCAAAGGTGTTGAATCCCTGCAAAATCAACAAGTCAGTCACTATGAAACCAAAAGCAGGTGAAGTTCACCGGCTGGATCACCTGTGAGGTTGGTGATGATGACAACCTTACAAGGTGACGATCACCATCATCCAGTTGTATTCACCGTGCGAACGGGTGCATGAAACAAGGTGAACATAACCGGAATTTTTGCCGATTTCACCGTCTTGTCAAAAGGCTTTTCAGGTGACAAAGTTCACCATCTTTTCTGGTGCTTTTGACCACTCACCTGTCATGCACCATAGCTGTATAATCAACCACATTTCTGGTGTTTTTGACTATGTATCATAGTGGCAATATACACCGGATTTTCTGGTACCTTTGACCATGTACAATAACTGTCAGATACACTGCAAATCCACCTGCCGCTTATCCTGATTCGCCCACGTTATCTCCTTCATTGTTCTCGTCGCCACTCCCACGCTCACTGCTCTCGGCTTCTTCCTCCGACTCACTACCACTCACATTGAAACGAGAACGTGTCTTGCATCGACTACTGTTCCCCTCACCTTGAGCCTTCCTCTTGTGGTTGGATTGTTTTCTTTTGTTTTGCAGATACTGCTTTGTTATCTCGGCTGTAGCCCAGTCGTTCTGGAACTGCTTGAGGTAAGGGTGCTCATGGCGGGCCTATAACCACAACGATCCTTTAGGCTTTAGCTCAGTTCTCACTCTCTCGCTATTGACTCACTAGTTTGAAAATTTTACTTAAAACTTCTGCAGGTTGATGAACATATTTTGTCCTGAAGTCAAGTCCTACTCGGGCACACAGCAAGTGCACGTCGCCCTGTTTGTTCCATCAAAATCAGTTAGATGCATGGTACGTAAAATATTGCATCTCACCTGGATTGAAACATATTGATTTCTGGCATCTTCAAGTCCCATAGCTCTCATTAACCGCCCACGACCACCATCCCTCATATTAGCGGTTGTAGGCCGGGGGATCAATTTATTGGTTTGTCCATCGTGGTCTGACCGGGTCATATTTTTAATCTTCTCTTCGGCAGCTCTTTTTGCAGCATCTGCCTCCTGTACTGCTCTTTCGGCCACAGCACGGGCATCATTCTCTCGGGCCAAACGGGCTCCACAATACATCAATTGTCAATCTTGACAATTATAATAAATTGTATGTCCATACCTTCTAACTCTTTGATTTTTCCAGCTAATTCTGCATTTCGGTCAGCTAAGACTTGTTTTGTGGCGTTGTTGGTCTTTCCAGTGGTCTTCGGAGTTCCACCTGTTGGCTTCATTGATTTGGCTGATCCGCTGGCATTAGCCTTCGCTGTGGGTTGCGAGTTTTCTTTGTTGGCCATCGGGGGTATCCAAGGGGTATAGTGTACACCGTAATCGCAATGGGGAGAACCTGCAAACTATGTATATGAGAATACAAGTGAAAATTTGAAGGTTTTGTTTGTTGCTGTATTGCTCTCTGATTTCAAAATTTGACAAGTCTTTTCTGACAATACATTCCCTTGTCATTGCAGCATACTATTACACTGTAAATCGTGTCTACATACTCATGCCAAAGACATCCAGTTCGCACCAGAAGTTATGCCGTTGTTGCAACAAGTGGGTTAGTGCTCGCACAGAACTTAATCATCGCCGTCTCGTTGCCCCACCCCACCTCAAAGCCACCTCATCATATCTTGCCAAAGTGCTTCAACCACTGGAACGAGCCCCTCAAAAAATTCCACAACCTATTCTATCACCTCTGAGTCCAGTACTGCAAGCTCAGTTTCCATGTCCGACAACCCTTGAGACCCAGGATCTTGATGCCGACTATGACATTAGTCACGACGATCAATTTCAAGTTGAACCATACGAAGATCCAGTCCAGGCAGCCTTGGCTACTGCAAAATCAGTCATGCGAGGTCACAATTTGGACTCAAATGATGAGGAAGAGGGCAACTTGGATGACGAAGCTGATTCTGATTCTGATTTGGATGGGGACTGCAATATTGGTGTCGAAAGTGATCCTGAAGATGAGTTCATGGGGAAGAATGTCGAACGAGAACTGTATGAAATGGGTATGCTGTCAACATGACATTCGTGAATATCAGCTCACAAGTGGATTTTCAGGAGACGACCTCAGCTCCTATGATAAACATGTTCTTTGTGCATTTGCTTACAAGGTGCGAAGTCGAACCACCGAAGAGGCATTTAACATGCTTCCATACGCATTTCCCGATATCCAGCTGCCAAGCTTGAAGCAGACAAGGGCTCGTGTTGCATTTCTTGCTGGGTTATCACCTGCCCGGTATGACTGTTGCATCAATTCATGCTGTTGCTTCATTGGGCCTATTGAAGTCCTGGATAGGTGTCCACACTGCTCAGCTCCCCGTCGCACACCATCTGGTCAACCACAAAAACAGTTCACATATATTCCCATCATTCCCCGTCTTGTAGCCCTCTATGCCAATCGACAATCAGCTACAGAAATGAGATATCGCACTCGTGGACATTCACATCAGCCGGGAAATATCACTGATGTGTTCGATGGCTCGTTATATCAAAAACTACTTGCCAAAAAAGTGAGTGTCAATGGCCACGAACTTGCACACAACCACTTTAGTGATCCAAGAGACATTGCACTCGGCCTTGCCACGGACGGTTTTGCCCCATTCCGACGTCGAAAAACCACCACTTGGCCACTCATCCTCTACAACTACAACCTCCCCCCTGAAATTCGTTTCCACAAGCAAAATATCATATGTGCTGGCGTTGTTCCTGGGCCAAAGAAGCCGAAGGATTTTGACTCGTTTCTGTGGCCTCTTGTTGAGGAATTGATGAAACTTGCAGCGGGTGTGCGTGCATTTGATGCACTCGAAGTTGTCCTGTTTGCACTGCATGCCTACCTCATCATCATCAGTGGAGACATGCCTGCAATATCTATGGTCATGCAGATCAAGGGCCACAATGGGTATTCCCCTTGTCGCATGTGCAAAATCACAGGCATACGAGTCCCAAATTCATGCAGCTCTGTCCACTATGTCCCCCTTGATCGCAGCACTCATCCTGATGTATGTTGTTCAGTGACTGCCATCAAAAAATACGACCCACGAAACCTACCAATGCGTACACACAAGGAAATGGTAGCACAGGGATGTGAGGTTCAATTGGCACTGACAGCTGCCGAAGCCGAACGTCTTGCCAAGTCATATGGTGTCAAGGGTGTTTCAATTCTCACTTACCTCTCCTCAATTTCATTTCCGAAATCTTTTCCTCATGATTTTATGCATCTGATCTGGGAAAACACTGTTAAAAACCTTATTCTGCTCTGGATGGGGGAGTTCAAAGGCATCAACACTGGTTGCGAGTCATACGAGCTTGGTTTGGAAGTCTGGAAAGCAATTGGGAAGGCAACAGCTGCTTCAGGAGGGACTCTTCCTTCTGCGTACTGTGCTCGCCCACCAAATCCAGTAACAGAACGGTCAGCATGCACAGCTGACTCCTGGTCCTTTTGGACCCAATATTTAGGTCCTGTCCTCCTCCGTCAAAAGTTCTCAAAAGCAAAGTACTACAAACACTTTGTGAAGCTTGTAAAGATACTTCGTGTCTGTCTCCAATTCGAGCATTCGGCACAAGACATTGAAGATTTGCGAGTTGGATTTGAATCTTGGGTCAAAGAGTTCAAAGAGTAAGTGTGAGTTTGTTCTTGCATTATTTAAGTATATCTAACTATGCAAGATAGAATATATTACCAGAATGATCCTCAACGTGCAGGAGTATGTCCAATAACCATCCATGCCCTCCTCCATATTGCCGATAGCATTGAGGAGACAGGCCCTGTTTGGACATCATGGGCATTTCCAATGGAACGATTTTGTGGGCGTCTTCAGCCCATAATCAAGAGCAAGCGCCATCCAGATGCATGCATTGCACGATACATTGTCGAAGAGGCCCAGCTCACACAGGCAGCACTAATCTATAACATGGCAGAAGAACTCTCATTGCGCAAGCCACTGAATGGAATGGTGGCAGGGCAGTTCACACATGAGTCCTGTGCATGATTACATGTGTTTCTGTTTATGTGTTTGTTAACATTGTTGATTGGACTAGATCCTACCTGTGTGCTTCTCCCGCCACGACAAAAGGGGCCCGATGCCATAGATGATTCACTTTACAGCAAGATCATCAAGGCACTTGCAACATGGTTGGATACTACTCCCACTGTCCTCAAACGGGTCGTTTTTCACAACCATATGGAGCAATGGGGAAAAGTTCGTCGGCTAGAGGGAGGAGACACTATGATATGTGCAAGGCTTGTTAAAAAGCAGGTGGATTCGCGTGATGCAACTTTTGTTCGGGTGAGCACATGCATGTGATCTACTTCACCATTAAATGATTCAATGGCACTGTAGTATGAATCTCTCGTGGATAGAAATACTCGTCAGCGAAACATGCCATCAATCTTTGAAAAACAAACATTTTACGGTCAGCTCCAGCACTTGTTTGTCGTCAATGTGCCTGCCAATCCAACTATTCACCTCGATGCACCCTTAACAATATTCTTTGCTGCACTACTTCTCTGTCTTCTGACTGCCTCATCAGCTCACCTGGATATGCTCGACATTCACTTCTACTCAACAATGGGAACATCTTTGGATATCGTAGACATTGTCTGCATTCAATGTTTGGTGGGACGGGTGCCACTCGACGACAATGGTCAGAGCTGGGCTATAATTGACCGGAGTGGTGATCTTGCTCGTGCAGTGTTCGAAGACTAACTTCAAGGGGCAGAATGTGGTCTTCATAGCTTAATATTCAATTTGATGTAAAGCTCGTAATGGGAACAAATAAAGCCTCTAGGAAACATTTATGCACAAGGAAAATTTTTCACCTCCAGGAGTTGAGCCTTGCACTGCGCATCACACAGTTCCTTCTGAGCTTGCCATCGTGCTGTCACAATGGAATTGATAAAGTCTTCTGGTACCTGGAGCATTTTGACCAGCGGAGAGACTTGGACAGCAGCCTGCTCACGCTCAGCCTGTTCGGCGAGGATGGCAAGGTACTCATCACCTATGGAGACATTATTGGTCACTTCATTGTTAGTAACACACAAAAATGTAAGACGTACTGAATTCAACAGGGTCGGAGGCGTTGATTGGTAATTTATAGCGTCGGAACATCCGAGGCCTGGAAACAGGCATTGATCAGCAAATACAAAGAGGAATCACGAGAATCACCCACCGTTTTGGTGCACCAGGAGGATTTTCAGATGCCTGCTCACCACCGAAGACATTTTCTTTGCTTGGATCAGCGAATTGAGGTGTGGGTAACTCAGTCCGTTGACTTGTGATTGAGTTAGAGTCAGAGACAGTACAAGCAATAACGGAGGAGACAATTTGTATGCTTACCATTTGGCTGTTTGCAAGGAGGCTCGTGGTGTGGCCATCATGATCGAGTATTGGATTGAGTGAGAGTCAGTGAGAGTCAACTGAGGATCATGATAGTTAGAGCTGCATTGGCCACAGAGCAAGTTGGGACTTACTTGGTGTACTATATACACTGACACTGTACACGAAGAAAGGTGATGAGGTACGTACTTAGCACTAGCTATAGTACTAGTACTGGCGATACCAGCTGTGCAGATAAGCCAAAAATTGCCATCGGTCGACAAAATTAGAAGATGTTGAAGGCCACTAGCAGAGCCGGTGATGTTCAACTAGCATCTCGCAGGTGTGAGGGCAGTGTTGGTAATCACCTGACAACACGGTGTTGCAAAATCACCCGTCAATCACCCGTCACCGTCTCATTACCTATTTAGTAGGTGAAACGGACATTTCACCTGTGGAAGGGGTGACAATAATCTCCTTCCTGTTTCATAGTGAGTCTTTGAAACCTAAGAGTTTTTGGAATGGCAAAAGAAATTTATTCATCCTAGAGAGGGGGTAATGTCATGAGTTCCAAATACAAATCATTAGTCTTTCCTGAATTCAAAATCCTTCAACCACCTAGTCACAGCATCTATCTCTAAGAATATGTTTACTGTTGAAGAAGTTCCCACTGTGGTGACTATTGTAGAAATACCAGAAATGCCTGTAACTGAATCATGTGACTTACCAGAAGTTCCTACACTTGATGACCTCATACCACATGATCCTCTTGGAATGTTCCAGAGTCTTACTGTGGCTGCAGCACATGTTATGATATCATAGTTATATATAGAATTATATGATACTTTTAATTATTCTAATTGGCTAGTAGTTAGAACTCAGATTCAGTCTTTGTTTCAATACATATATATAGGTAGCTTATTATAGTCAATATTTCTTCAGTTCAAACCTCTTGTTTGTATAGCTTACTTGCTAGCAATTACAGATGTACCTGCTACCTCTCATCTTTTCATTGTGATAACCTTGTTCAAGTCCTAGTCTCTGCCCTACTGTTTATTTGTTTGTAGGTTGTGACACAAACAAACAATTATAGTAAATGTTATTAAGAGTTGAGTGGGATAACAAGTGTGTGCATCTTACCTCAGTCTAAGTATAATGGACTGAGGTGGACAGTCTATAGATAAGAGTAAAGAGAATATATAGCCACCTGTGTTAGCAGCAACATAAATTAGGAGTGTGCTATTCTATGTGTGTGCAGTAAGTGAATGTGAACATAAACAAGGAAAAAGTAATAGTGAGACTTACTACACTTTATGTTGAAGTATTTGTTCTTACTAGGTACATGAGTCTACAACAAAAACAGTTCTGTTTGAAGACTGAGATTATTTATTCTTACTAGCTTAGTCAGCCCACTCTTACCACTGATCATGATAAGAGCAGATTAAGCAATGTACTACATCAGGAAAGTGCATATTAAGTACTTATGCTTGCCTTCAAAAGACCTAAGTTGTAAACTTGTACTTTTGTCAATTGGCAAAAATGGATCTACTTTGCCAGTACTTTGCCAGAAATTCAACCTTAAGATAAAAAATTGTTCAGTTATATTAGCATACATGTTTTGTTATAGGCTGCTGTGGGAATACAACAATAGCTGGACACTACATGAAGTAAGTACCCAGCCAAATATAAAGTTGTGGTCTTGCACAACCTAGTCTGCTATACTTGCAAGACAAGTGTGTTCAACCTGAGGGGTTAGCTGTTTGGAAGTAAAATAGTCTGAAGATAAAAATGTTGGGTCCAATACTTTTGGGTCGGGTTAGGTGTCGGGTTGTGTCGGGTTTCATCAGGTTGTGCCAGGAATATGTCAGAAAGGTAGTGAATGTCAGGAATAGTAAATGTCAGGTTACTATTGGTGTTTTGGAGTGTTTTGGATAAAGAAAGGATGATAGTTCAGAATTCTGCTAAGAACTACTAATATCAGATGACCTCCCTCCTACTTGGAGGTAGAAAGGTAAGTTAAATAGGTAGGAGGTATGCAAAATATATAGTGTCTATGTAGAATTTCAGAAGGCTACAGGTGAAAGTAGTAGCGAGAAATTTTGGATCTGATGTCCTATGTAATAAGACATGTGGTACTGCAGACATGTAATAACGTCTACAATGTTAGTGACGTGAAAATGAATAACTGTGCACCTAGTGGGGATAGATACAACAGGACATGACATAGGGAGGACATTTTCTAATAGGCCAATGCAAAAGCTAATGTCTAATGTGATGTCCAATATTTTTCGGATTTCATGTGTGCTGCTTGAGCAATGTGTAGTAGGGCTGGCCACCATAGGCCATATTACAGGGATGTATGGTGATGTAATATAAGTGCTATACCCATACCATCGGGGCTTTAGAGCTCTCATTGATGGTTACAGTGTACAGTTATTCGAGTACCATATGACACTGTAAGTTTATGGCTGTATGTACCGTCATATGGGACATACGGTTCTACTTAGATCTGTTACTGGTAGCCTCATGTCTTATTTCGATACTGGCGACAACCACGATCCAGCCTTCATTCACTCCAACCCGCTATCAACTCTATATGTCCATCTACTTCCATCCTTCATGTGCCTGTCTTGACTGACCATTTCCTTCCTCGTGTAGCTCATACTTCCTACCTTCAACCTCTTCAAGGCAGTGCCACCAGGTGACTTCGTTGATGGCAAGGATGTAATATTAGACATTCAGGTATGTGTCTCATTGCGCTGTTACTATTTTACTCTGCTAAACATGTGAATCTCATCATGCCACCGCTTCTACCCCAAACATGCCATCCCAGCCTCTCTTTCAGCCCTTCCGCACACCCCCTAGCACATCTCTCACATCCTTCCAAGTCCAATACAACAGGTCCGATGTCTAAGGCTGTTAATGTAAGTGTTGTATCAATTCCATTGGTCAGTGTGCTTATCTTTGTTTTTTGAACTTGCTACTTACTACAGGTGAGTCTTGCAGCTATCGATCTTTTTGCTCAGAACCTAACCCAAGCACTAAGTGAGTGCAACCTCATGCATGTCATTGATATCATCTTCATCAGTGACCATAGGATGGCAGACATCAGCCATCTGTGCCTGCACTCCCCCTGTCACTCCTCTCACCTGTAGAACCATTTCCATGCTCTCCGACAGTGTCTGTGTTCTCAATACCAACTACAAGCGGACATAACTCTCTTCGGCATGCTGGTCTCCAACCTAACACTATCAGGACATTGATGTTGGCTAAGCAGCATCTGCGCCTTGCTTGTAATGCTATCACGGTAATTGATTAATTCATATTCATATATATGTTGTGCTACATAGTTAGTACTACTGTAATTTACTAATTCAACATTTTTTCATCTCCCATACAACTGTATAGCCGGCCATATGACCATATGATGACCCATACCATACCGTCGAACATTTTGAATGTATTGTACAACATACAGTACAGTACAGGTAGTACCTGTAAGCCCACCATAAATTGTACGGCCATAACCATATATGGTTACGGTGGCCAGCCCTAATGTGTAGCAGTTGACCTGCATCGTCAAATAGCCTGATACAGGCTCAACATGAACCCAAGCATTACACTGCACTAAAAAATACAAGATTTACTAGGTAAATGATGCATGAGAGAGACATAAGTTGATTAAGTAAGATTAAGTAACATAGTACACTTTTCCTGATGTATTTCACTGATGAGCATACAATAGGTTTAAACAGATTCAACGACCATGCCAGATGTGACTGGACTACAATGAGTATAATTCAGAAACAAACAGAACCAGACTGTGACAGCACGACAGAAGGTTGTGAAATAAAGATCACTTGGAGTGTAGTAAGCCTGAAAATGCACTTGTGTGATTCCAGAGCTGCTGTGCATACAACTTGATACAAGGTTGCAAAGGAGCTAGCTTGCAATACCAAACGACTGTCCTCAGACAAGACTCACTCTAGATTGAAGCACAGTACGTCGTACGTTAATTACATACACTCTTCAAATAATCCCGCAGACCGTCCTGCGAAAATACGACAGTCTTCATCGCCCCCGCATACATGTTCCACACTACATTTCGGAACTTGAGGTAAGCATCAATAATCGCCTCCTCTATATGCGTGACCAGCACAGACACCGTCCTATCATCCTCTAGGTACAGCCGCAGCTTCGTTACGAATGACCGCAGATCCCGTTCACAAGCCTCGATGAAGACCTGATGAAGGTTCTCTGCAATAGCATGCTTTGCCCATTCTTGCTCCGTAAGGAGTGGGGCCTGTGACCCTGGTGAGAAGGATATGCGGGCGTCGTTGAATGCTTGTACGCGGTTCACCCACTCTCGCAAAGGCTCACAGGGCAATCTTGCACAGAACGAGATGACTTCTTGACAAGCACGTTTCAGATCTTGATCTATGTCCTATATAAGGAGTCGATGTCAGCAAGGATGGAGAGTCAGTGGAAGAAATGCATCGTTTACATGCCGAGAGTCCGAAAAGGTATCATGTCCTCGGGGCATTCCCAATGAAGCGAAAAGAGCATCCGGTAGTAATGCAGTCGTGCGATTCAGAACTGATGCCAAGGTATCTGTAATCGAGAAAGTCAAGAGGATGACCCAGTGTCATGAACAAACACCCACCCGTCATACCGCCTATATCAGACCTCGGCTCTGTATCTTTCGGAGTATAATCCAAATTATTTGCAACCTCCTTCAAAATCAGGAGATGGCGAACGAGAAATAGCTGGCCATCTAGCACGCCGGTAGAACTTCTCTGTTCGACCAAATTGGACGAGGTGACCAGCGATTGACGGCAAAAGCTCACGGCCTCATGCGCGATATCTTCAAAAATAGCGGGCTGCATGAACTCAGCATCCAGTCAAGATGCACAAGAGAAGTGACTACCTTGACGAAGTCATGCAGTTGAGATAATACCCATACCGTCTTTTCCAAGGTCGGAAACCAGGTTTCTTTCTTGTCTAATGAGGGCAGCTGGAAAAGTTGGCTCACACTATCCTTCTCCTTGATTTCGTATTGAGAAACAGGCTTCCGCATGGCTGACGGCACTTATCAGACAGTGGCTAGAGCAGGCAGAATCATGCACTTACCAACGAGCTTATCAGGATACGCCAGGTCTTCTGGTTTCGGTGTGTAATATCGAATTTCGGCCTGAATAACCGACTGCGCTTTGAAGAACAACCGTGTTTGTGCATCCTGGAGGACCATCTGCAGAAGGTGACTGATATGGAGTTGTCCTAGACCTTTGGACTTTGGTTGGTCAAAATCAACAATTAGATTGCCGTCGTCAGTTGGCTCCTCTGGCAACTCTGCCACATCGAGAACCATCAGAGCTTGAAGCACCGTGCATACTTCGCAGAGAGTTGTGAGGCGAGTTTCATGCAATATCCGGGGGCGCAGATCATCATAAAGGTAGTCACATAAGTTCTCAAGATAAGTGCTTGATGTCGTGGATAAGTGTAAGCAGAGACAACAAAAATGGTACTCACTAGAGCTGGTCCTCGCCAGAGTTGAAAAACTCTCGGTAGAGATTGAACTCGTCTGTGCAGAGATGTTTCAGATAAGTGCAGCCGGCATTCGTCTGTTTTTGAATGAGTAAATCGCCGAGCACAATCGCGTGCAGCTCACTAATTCAACTAGTTCAGTGTGTGCTGGATCGAGCCCACGTATTTCTTCCATCAAGCGTCCCACCAGTAGACCTTTACGTGCTGCAAAATAAGCAGAATGGCATTCTGAAAGCAGTGCCGATAAGTCTTCTGGATGAGCTTCAGCGCGACGCTCTAACTCGCTGAGTAAAGGAGAAAGCTGAGAAGTGACACTGCGGAACCTGGTATAAAGCAGATGCATCTGTGCTGTCGATGATACATCCTGAAGATCGCGGTGTCAAGAGAATGAGTATAAGTAATGAATAAGTTTACCTTCTCTGACAGTCTTCTGGAAACGTCGGCAGTCAATGCCCTTAACGAACCAACGAAAAACATCCTGATGAGTGTCATGGCTCTCGTCATGCACTGCTGAAAGCGGAGTAGGTATATCTCCGCTTCTCTGTAATATCGCTGAAAGTATCCAGTTAGTGTAGCATCTTGGCAACTAGCATAAGAATTCACATGTGCCTTGAGATAATCTATGCAAATATCCACACGCTCTACCATGTACAAGAAGTCGGTTTGAAGGACAAGGGACTCTCCAGGGTGATTGAGCATGCGCATCGCGTGTTCTAGTTCTTGGAAATACTCGAGTCTAGCTCCGATTTCGTCAGTGAGTTCAAGGAGCCTGTCCTAGCGTGAAAGAATCAGCGATTGGGATATTCTAGCACCTAAGTTGCTTACTCTTTCCTCCAGCAACCGCTCGCACGCATCCTTCAGATTCTTTCCGCCCTCCTCCACGCTTCGCCAGCCTTCAAGCAGCCCACTGACCTCCCGGTCAACCTCGTCTATACGTTCAATAAGTGTATCTGCTGTGTTTAAGTGTTCGGATACCACCGCGACATGAGCGCGGAAGTGCGCTTCCTGGCTATGGGCTACGGACTTATCTATCTGTGCAAACCAGTCATAGAATTGTTGGGGCGTTTGTACGGGCTGCTTCGGGTGCAGCGCATGACTGGCGAACTGGCGAGTAGATGCTGGCACTGGTGTTGATGGACGCGACACCGATCCGACCTTCCCTCGTAGATTAGGTGTAGAAGGACGGGAGGACTCGTCTTCATTGACGCTAATCTTATGTGTATTCAGCAATATGCGGCGCAGTAAATTATTCTGACTGTACTTTGAGAGGGAGAGGTGTTTTCTCGCTGGCACATTTGACTACCGCGACGCTCTTGAGTGCCAGGTCACTGAGAGGTGCTTTGGCTTCCCATTCTTCGATGGTGAACTGTGGCTTGGGTCGTGGTGTCGACGCAGCAGGAATTCCTGCGCGGCGGTGGGGTACAGGCGCCTTTGACATAACGCTAGTTCTCACCAGAACATGACGTCGAGCTCAGCCTGTAAAGTTCAAGTACAAGCCCCGAATGAATACTTCCTATTCGAGGTTTCTATGAAGTCCTCTCTGTTTCCTACCACGATGAGCACCGCAAACTATTCTATGAAGGGTTCAACTAGGCTATTCCAGATCCCGAAAGTTTGTAAGTAGTAAGTAATGCTATTGCATCCAGCTTCAGATTATTAATTTCACCATAGAAATGGCTACTGTATCACCTCTATAGTAGTAGGTTGGCCGGTGGCAAATACTACGTCAACAATTCTGTTCGCTGCGATGGGAGGAATACCTAATGAAGATTCCTATGGCTACAGTAATAAAAAGTGAATATTCAACAAACTTCAAGATATGTACTAAGATCAGTTCCAAGGGGATGGTTCATCAGGTATAAAGGATACTGACGTCGGGCTGGCGAAGCCCAAACCCAGGGGAGGAGAATTGTCTGCATGGTTGGAGATCGCTTTCTCCACGGATTGCGTTTTCCGGTGAGACGCTGCAGATGTAGGTTTCGGTGCTGGCTCAAGGGTGAAATCTGTGAGATGCTCCGGATTGTCTGAGGTAAATGAGGCGGCACTTGGTGGAAGCGCCAAGGGTACAGTAACATCATCAACAGCCGGAGACGAGGGTGAAGGAGATGTCGGCGGAGACTTTATTGCGTCTCGCGAAGAACTTCGAGAATGTGAAGATGGCAGTTGTGGAGTTTTATCTGGTACCCCTCCTGCAGAGCTCTGCACACCCCGAAGTCGACCATTTTCGCCTTCGATCAGCCGCAGTGCTTCCTTGAGTGCATCCTTCTCTAGCCGTACTTCTTGTAGTTCTTCCTCTGTCTCAGCGCGTTTAATGCGCTCAGTCGCAACCATCTTGTTTGCCTAGAAGATATATATAAGTTTGTTGAAAAACTTGTGGCAAGTGGGAACTATACCTCCTCAAAGAGTGCTTGTGATAAGGACTCTAGCTCAGCTTCAATAGCAGCCTTCTGTGCATTCGCTAATGTATGTGCAAGGCGTTCCCGTTCAAGCTGCTCTTGAAGCTCCAAAAGTTCTTTTTCTCTCGTACTTGCTACAAGAGTTGGCAAGGAAGGTGACGTTAAATGAGAAGAGTGTTGTTGAATAGAATTGACAACGGGAGGCTTAGATCCTGTATCAAGATGTAGATGATGAGTGGATTATTATATGAGGACAGATCACCATACCACTATTGAACCTGAATCTGAAGAAACGACCCTCCTGGTTATTCTGGGAAGCTGTAGATGAAGTCGCCAGAGAAGGGGTAGTTGGAGATGGCTCTGTACCATTGACAACAACTGATGGAGCACTCTCGGGGTGGGACGGTGCGCCCGAGTCGTTCAAAGGGCCATAATCGAGACTCCTTCGATGTTCTTCTGATACACGTTGCATGTTCTGCGCTTCTCGTGCACTCCAGCGCCGCCACCCAACATCTTTCGCGCTGCAGGGGGTTTCACGTTTGAGAGCTTCCTCAAGCATCTCATTGTTGGACATCATCAGTTGTAAATTAGACTTTGCGACGCTCAATGATGTCTCTAGTTCAGCTTGAGTCTTGTACGCGATCTTGAGCAAGGACGACTAGCGAACCATGATCGGTTCATTACTGCCACAGTGAAGCAGACCTGTCCACGCACTAGCTCTTCCACTCTCTTGATTACACGATCAAGGGCATATCTGAGATCTTCTTCTTGGCCATGAGAATGAACACGCCAGGCATCCCGAAGCTCATCGTCTATGCCTGCGAATATAGCAGATGTGGGCGAGGGATGAGGTTCTTGAACTGATGAATGACGCGATTGAATGGTTGGTGATCCAAATGTCATATTTGATAACATGAAGGAAAACAGCGATGACTCAAAAATATTGCAGAGTTCAAAACAACAAACTTGTTAGACAGGCCGCTGCACCGTTCTTATTAGGTAAGCTGGGTTAGTGTCACTGGCAAGACCTGCCAAGTTGAAGATATCCATTCACTGCGCATCATCGCTCGTTCTTTCTCACCACGGCCACCGGTCTGGGAGACTTGGCAAGGTTGATTTTACACTGCTCCGGCGTCGTTGAATACACAGCAAGGAAATGCGGTGTCATCCACAGGACAGGGCTGAACCCTCAGCCCTCGTCTCTCAGCCCTGGCCCTGGCCCTGCCAGTGCTTGCGTCACTTTCTGTTGTGAATCACTCTAGTGACTAGTACTACCAATGTAAGGAGAGGATGTGTCCCCGAGTCTAAGATGGAGAAATTCACCAGCGCCGTTAGTGTTCAGTAATACTCTCTCACAAGGAGCTGACGGTACACACATTACAGGCTGTTGATTCATTAAATATCCGAGTCTAAATGAAGACTTGCCTTCGCCTCTCTTCAATAAGCAATTACCCCTCGCAACCGCTTTAGATCCCACCTCTTAGCCTCTGAAATTAGAGTTTATGCATTTCTCGATTTCGCTCAACATACTACCAAGTCATATCGACTCTCGCTATACCGGCGATAATCAGTTACCCGTATGCATAGCAATGCCATCGTGTACTGCAACTTGGTTTCAATTCCCTACTATTTCTTGGTCGTTGCTGTTGTTTTTGAATACACGTTGAGAAGCTCACACACAGGCTTTCATGTAGAGCTCTGGGATCGAGTCTCAGATGCCAGAAACCTCCTGGTCCTTCGTTCACGTCCCAGCGATTGGTCGTTCTCACACCCACGAAAATCTATGCCATCAGGGGCAGATCGCAGCTGTGTATGGGAATATGTTTAGAATCGCGTCCCCGCCGATTTGATATTCACCCGCGATAATCGTGTTTGCTCCACGCTTTCGTGACGACCGGTCAGTCTCGCACTGCTATCTCATTTCCTGACACGCGATATCATGCGATAATTGTATGAAACCAGCAATCTCATTCGCACAATACTCGATCACGTATCGGCGGCCCTCTGCCAGCTCATAAGCTTAATAGCTTGCCGCTTCGCCTAGCCTGTGTCTCCATTGTTTTCTTTTCTTCTAGACATACTTCTCCTGTGCTTCTCATTCTAACGATTTTCGACTCTCCTTCTAATGTCTCGCGGCGCACCTAAGCCCCCACCACCGCACAAACTTACTTTCGCCACCAACAGCGTGCGCAACACTACCTTCGCCGAGGACAACAACAAGTTCTACTATGAGATTGTCACTCGATTTTGGCACCCTCACCTCACTAAAATCAACAAATACGACTACGAGGCTCGTGTGGTCAACTGCATTGCAGAGATCGAGGATCAACCTGATAAAGATGTGAAAGTCCGCTTCAACACTCCTGATGCAGAGGGAGAGTGGGTGAGAGCTTGTGACTTTATCAAGAATGACGGTACAACGGTGTAAGTTTTTGATCACTATGAGCCAATAGTCAACGATTTCTAATGATCGATGGCAGTGGAGGTACCTTCACCCAGGAAGACGGCACTGAATACCGCTGGAAAGCACCCAAGCGCTATTTACAAGTTAGCTGTTTCTCGACTTGTATTTTTTCTATCTAACTGGCCAAGCTGCAGCTCATTAAGTCGGATGACGAAGAAGAGGTCCCGGTTGCTGAATATCACCCACATAAACGACACTTTGGCGTCTGGCGCATGTCGCAACGGGCTTTCCTCGAAGTCAAGCCTGAAGCTGCTGCTGCATTGGACAGAATTATCGGTGATTCGTTTCCTTAGGCATTGATGCACCAGACATCGCTAACTAGAGTACCTTCACTAGTGAGCTATCTTCTAATTGAAAGACGCAAGCGTCAAGCCAAGATCAAAGTCAAGTTGGAGACAAAATAATTCACACCGACATCGCCTTCTCCGTCGCATAACAGTCACCGCATCCCCATGTGTCGTGCGATTCTTTCCTAGTGGGGTCAAGGAAACTGCCAACCTCCGAGATGCCGGATCCTGATGACGGGATTTCTACACAAGGAAACGTCGACACTTCTGTATTCTTCTATTTGTTTAACCTTCATTTCAAGGGTTTCTTTGTTACAATAACTTTTCACTTATGTTCTATTTATTGTTGCTTGTTAATCATTTTAGATTCATAGTCATAGATTTCTTGCTGGTTCAAAGGTATAACGTTATACCAGTTGTACATATATACAACGTGTTTCACATTCTCACTGTGATTGGGGCTCGGAGTGTAGCGGTGAGATACGGCGTATGCGAATTCGAATCGTGATCATGCATGATGGCGTTATACCTGCTGATCATGGCATCAATTCATGCTGACAGAGGCTAGAGCCTCCTTCGCTCTTCCGTTTGACCTGTTGCTTACGACTTGCAATGGCAGCTAACTTCTCTAGTGTCCCAGTCCTCGACTTTGCTCTTGTGTCCGATAATGCCACGAAACCAGAGTTCATCCTGCAACTCCGACATGCGTTGATAAATGTCGGATTCTTGTATCTCGACAACCACACCGTCTCACAGAAAGTTACCAATGATTTAATCGACTATATCCCCCGACTCTTTGACCTTCCCCAGGAGGCTAAGAACCATATTTTGATGGCGAATTCACCACATTTCCTTGGGTACTCCAGGCTAGGTGCGGAATTTACCAAAGGCAAGACGGACTATAGAGAGCAATTCGACTTCGCAACTCCTCATGAGACACAGTGGAAACCCGGAGCCCCTGAGCATCTGCGCCTATGGGGGCCTTCCCAGGTGAGGGTTCTGTATTTAATCATTCAAAGCTGCGCGAACTGAACTCAATTCACCTAGTGGCCAGATGAGGGCCTTATCCCAGGGTTCAAAAATACCATGGAGACATATCTCCAGCAAGTGCAGGCCCTGAGCTACCAATTCATCAGCTTACTCGCGGAGGCTTTTGGCCTTCCTTCTGATGCGTTGAACAAGTTTTACGATGCTGATAAATTCATGCAGCACCGCGGAAAGGTAAATATCAAACGAGGGTCACAATGTATTCTATGGAGATCAGGATTCACCTGTTTTTAGGTCGTCAAATACCCCGCTAATGATGGTTCTTTGACTGATCAAGGCGTTGGACCACACTATGATGCTGGCTTCCTGACCTTCCTTCTTGTCGCCTCACCTCATCGCGGTCTGCAGGTACAAAACCTTTCTGGGCAATGGATCGACGTTCCTCCTATCCCAGGAACGTTCGTTGTGAATATTGGAAAGGGTATGCTGCAAACTGCAAGTGCACGACGCATTGAATTTCAGCTGACTTCTTCGTTCTGACGGTCTAGCACTCGAGTTTGTTACCCGCGGGTTGGCGAGAGCCACATCGCACCGCGTCTTATCTCCCCCTGTGGGTTCGACTCCCCGCTATTCTGTGCCGTTTTTCCAGAACATCAGTCTGAACGCTTGCCTCGCTGATGAAGTCTTAGACTGTGGGTGCCTTCGATTAAATACTTGCTTCACATACCTTGATCACCATTTTACAGTCCCACCTGAGATCCTTCAGCTCAAACAGCTTCGAGGAGATCCTGTTCAGACTGACTGTACGTCGTCTGCTTTTGTATTGTGACAACATTATTGATGCATGTTCCACAGCTGTCAATTTCGCAGAATTTGACCGCGAGCCATCTGGAAAAGTGAACCTCATCGGGCGGGTGAAGTAAGTTCTCCGATTGGCTATCTACGGCAGGAATTTTTGAATGTCTCCGTTAGGAGTCACCCTGATGTTGCGCAACGTCACTACCCGGGCCTTTTCGCACAATACTTCCCTAACGGCCTCCCACAGCAAGTCAGCGCATATTAAGGTTGAGAAGAGCAGACCTGTGCACTAGATATTACTTCCCCGCTGTACCAAATTATGGAAACTTCTTTTGCAGCACATGGTTGTCAGCAGTCCTTATATTTTCTTAGGGAATATAGACGACCATATATAACAGCCCCGCCGATTTCTTGAGAATTTTCTGGCAAGCGAGAGATAAGAGTCCAACGTGCGAATATACATTGAACAGGGCTACCAAACAAGATAACAGCACTGCAGGAAAATTAGATGCGAGCGGAGGGACGGAACCGGTGTGAAGGAGGTGAGCAAGATATACAATGGGCCGGAAAGAAACGACGATATCAGTTGTGAACATGCAATGAAATTTGGAATAGTTGATTGTGAGTGTCAAGACGAAAGAAATAAGGCATCGCAAGTCATTCTATAACCCCTAAGCCTGCCTCCTCCGCCCAACGGGATTGAGATGCAATAGCATTGCGTAGAGATGAATGAAATAGAAATGGAGCATATAATACACCAACGTGAAGCCTCCAGCGTGACGCAGCGTCAGAACGTTAACCATTTGAGCGGGTCTGGTAATGATGGTTTGCGTCGTCGGTTGTGTGACGTCCCGTGCAGGTGGATCCTCATGCAGGAATGCCACGGTCGGCTCTAAGATGGAAACATCAGGATCAGGTGTGTTCACCACAACGGGATCAGCTGCAGAGAGTCAACTCGAGTCGGCAACTTGGATCCAAACCGCTTCAGGTGGAGTGGAGGGGGGTGGGACGTTTTCCTCATCGCTGTCGTCATCGGTAGAAGGCTCACCCTTGTTATCGTCGACGGAAAGATCTGGAATGGGCACAACCTCGTCCTTCTTGTCAGCTTCGGCCTTGTCTTTAGCTTCCTGTTCTTGGAGTTGCTGTCTGAGCTTGGTAAGCTCAAGTTCTTTCTTCTCAAGCTCAGCCTTCTCCTTCTCCTTTTCCAGGAGTTCCTTGCGCCGCTTCTCACGCTAGGTAGAGTACGTCAGCTGAGTCGGATAATCAGGGAAACAAGTGACGCTCAGCAAAGTCGTCAAAATCCCGAATACTCACATCAAGTTTTTCCTTGATTTCCCGAGCCTCCTTTTCCTTTCTCAAGCGTTCCCTGAGCTCCCTCTCGCTGATCACCCAGGCAGCAGCTCCATTGGCAGCGGCTTCAGGTTGCGACTTGTTCTTGAGTAGATCTAAAGTCGTGCAAAAACGTGTCAGCACATGATTTCACCTCACTCACCACCCCGCCCACAGTAGACCAAGTAAAGCACGATAGAAAGGAACATCAAAGCACAAGGGGCGCCATAAAATTAGAAGAAACTCACAGCCTTGCAGCGCCGCAACGCTGAACTCGTCATCTGGAATTGAATCCGCAAACATCTTCGCGAGGTTAGCGAGTCTGGCACCATCCAAAGGCTTGGCGGAGTGCTGGCATGCAGTGAGATGCTCCTCAACCGGAGGTGGTAAGTACGCTTGGTTTTTGGAACCAAAGCCGTCTCGGGGAGGCTTCGAGGGCGAAGATTCCTTGGAAGACGCCAGAGATGACGTCGACGACGAGAACGAAGGAGAAAGAGACCACAGCGTTGAGGACTGCGAAGACGGTGATGGAGAGGACGACTGGGGTGTTGTGGGTAGGTCAATTCCCTCTATGTCCCCCTCTATGACTTCATTATCTTGATCCGTGGAGGGGAAGAAGTTGCGGAACAGAGCCTCCGCTTGCCACTTTGAAGAGTTCTTGAACTCAACCCAAACATCCATACGACCCGGACGTGAGAGCGCAGGGTCTAGACGCTCCAGATGATTGGTGGTGCTATAGGTGTACGTCAGAGCGTTCTAAACCGAAGGATTTCAAACTTACGCGAAGAGGATGCGACCTTCGGCAGCAGCTACACCGTCCAAGGCGTTCAGCAAGCCGCTCAAACTCAGTGTGTTTACATCGGAAATGTGGTCCTTATGACGTCTGTGCCTCGAGCTGCTGCTCGTCACCGGCTGTTCCGGGGCGCCCTCTTCCGAGCTGTTGCTCGACGAGTCCGGAGTACCATTGGAACTCTTATCACGTGTGACGCTGCGCGTAAACGCCGCATCGAGATCCTCGAGAAGCACGATGCAGCGAGCCGGGACACGACCCATGAGGGTGGTCAATGTACTATCGCTGATCCACGAAGAAGACAGTGACACAACATAAATGTCAAGCATGAGTTCGCCCGCGATGGCATGGATAAGGGAACTCTTTCCGGAGCCAGGTACACCATGCAGCAGGTAGCCGCGGCGGAATGGAATGCCGCGATCCGCATACCACTGTGGATTTATTATCAATGAAACGTGACTTTGATAAAATACCGAAATTACCTTCTCGGACTTCAAAAAGTCACGCGTGTCGTTGAGAAGCATCTCCTTTACCCCAGGGTTGAGAACAATGGACGACATAGGGCGTTTATGACGAGAGTCGGTCCAGCGCCAGCTGCCGTGCGAGTCTGCAAAGTATATTTGGATCCTGTGGATCGCCTCGGCCTCATACTCTTTCTTGGCTTGTAAGACAAGCTGCTTGAGGATGGTGTTATTCCGCGCAACAACGCTGTAATGCCAGCATACATCAGCCACGAGGCTAAAAATGAGTCAGAAGGAGAATTTGAAATATTACCTTATTGACAAGACTTCGCATCCGCTACCGTCTTGCTTTTTACTACGACGGACCCTGAGCCAGTGACCCTTGTAATAAATTGTGTGTGTAGTGTCGAATGTCGGCTGGAATACGACACGTGTCTTGACTTTGCCGGGGGGTGAATCTTCGTCACCCTCCTCCTCTTCGTCGTCACCAAATGAATTGTCTGCTTGGCGAGATCCTGAGAAGCCGGGGGTTGTGGTACGAGTAGTAGTTTCGAACTCTCTAGAGCGCTGCCATTCAGGGCGGCGTGAGAGCCACAGCATAAGCCAATCATAAGGATAGTCCTCTTCCGAGAAATGCGCAGTGAGGAAGAATGCTGTGTCAGGCAATAGCATGTCAGAAAAAGGCTTTAAATGACAGGCGACTCCTTACAGTTGAGGAAATGAGACCTTTGAGGTATGCTGTCGTCAGCGAGGAGGTGGATGAGAATGATTCAGGACATACCAAGCTGAACTAGAGGCCCTTCTGGCTGTCTCGACAGTTCCTCCCAGGACGACGAGCTTCATGCCGTCAATGACTGATGAGCCTCCTGCGCCTCCGACGAGGGGTTGCACGAGCGACTTGAGAGCGTCCATGATAATGGTAATGTCTCAAGGTGAGTGGACGAGCCAACGTTGCGTGGAAGGACACTTTGAGTGTAAATAGCGGAAATGTAGACAACAAGGTGGGTGTGTGAGGATAAGAGGAGGATGGTATCTAATAAACGCTGTAAGATGATATACTGTCTGGTGCAAATAGGCTATAAGCAGCAAACAAGTTAGCTTACGACTATGAGCGTCCAGGAAACAGACAAACAAATAGTGAGGCAACAAAATAAGTCGAGGACTGTCACTACGGTCCCGTTCTGATTCTCATGCAATGAGGAGGAAGTCAAGCCGCGTCAGCCTGAGAAAGTGGGTATTTCTTCTACTCCAAGAATTAAGCGCCGGCCAACTTGGTCACGCCACCTTCACAGCATGGTACACAGCTTATTGAGAACGTCTGAAAAAAGCGAATATCTACATACAGCTGCAGTAGATACATGTGTACTCCTAAATATTGAATGAATCGGGAATCACGACACCGCCAAGTATAACCCTTCTACAGCAACATTGGCCTGCCATATTCCCAGCTTGCGAACAAATCTAAGAACTATTGGGGCGGGAAACACCAACACATACGACACGGGGACCACTACCAGCAGAGGGATGGTTAGAAACAAAGTGATACTTGGTTTGATAACCAAAAAATAAAATAACGCCTGATAGGATGTCCAATCCGTGAACTACAACAATGGGCGGCCGAATAACGGAGGTAAGAGGGCTTTTGGCTAGAGGGGGAGAGGCGGATTGGACGCACCATGGCTATCGTGTTTTTGTAGAATGAGGATTCGTGGTACGGTGACCCTGACTCCACGTCAGACAATTGCGGTGGTCGCACCCGCTGGAAGATAGGCAGGGGCGGATGTGGAAGTGGGTAAGCAAGAGGCCCATGAAATGTTGTTTGGAGAGCGAGCTACGGATTCAGTTTCATATTCAATTTGAAATTTGAGATAGAAGCGAGACGCACTTCTCCTCTTGCAAATACCCTGGCACCGAGCAAATTGAGGAAACATAGGAGAGCACCCAAAGGTAAGGCAATTAATAATGTTGTACCAGTCTATAAAGGCCGGTCAGAAGTGACAACAATTTTCAATTTCCAAACTGAACGCCAAGAGACAGAAAAATAGAGGCTAGAACAACATGCTCACCAAAGTAAATACAAAAAGGTAAACCCATGCAAGCAGGGCATAGGGAAAATTGAGCACTAGAAGGTGGAATACGGCTGCATGGTATGCTCTGCGAGTCATGGGTCGGAAGTAACGAGACCAGAAGCGCCGCGAAAACGGCGACCACCGGTGCGAGCTTCCAAACTGTGATTCTGTTAGTGCGCCGGGACGTTGCTGACGCCTCGGATGACCATCGTGTGCATACGGGTAGTCACGGTCATCCCCGATCGCCTCATATATGTCAACGTCAGATTCGATATCTGGATCAGAATGGAGCAGGGAAAGCACTGTTTGCGCTAGAGAGGGCGCAAACGAATTGGACGAAACAATTGTGCTCGACTGCGAATATGTCCTCTGGCGCCCCGACGAACGTTGGGCGGAGCCTGGCAGAAAATCACCAAGTAGTGGCGTTTGCTCTGTGGCATCCTCATTCCGAGGGAACGAATGAGTTGAAACTGATAATTGAGGGGAAATATATCCCGAAGTACGATCTGAATCTGGTGGAGGCTGCGGTGATAATGGCGCTGGTAAGCGATGCCTCCGACTATGTCGAGTCGCGCGTGAGCGTCGTTCTTGGGATGGATAAGGCGGTGGAGGATCGTAGACTGCAGCTGCTTGGTTGAAAACTGGAGGAACTATGTTCCGAATTCCAGTACGGTTACAGGCTTCTTCAGCAGACATCCCTTGGGCCATCCTTCTGGTTGGTGGAAGGTCGTGGTCCGGCACGTGATGTAATAGTTATGACAAATAACCGCTTATTAATATTATGTTTACATGAAATATTATATAATTTGAGCGACAAGGCCTTGTCACTTCCTGCCACAGTGAGCGGAGTCCCGTCACTGCGAGCAGCGGGGTCGACAGTTACCAGGGCTCACCCCGACTTGACTTTTTTTCCGCATGAACCTTTTGCTTTACTCGCGGGGTTGATGCCGATGCACAGGTCTCTAAGTATATCATTGCAATTTGATCAAAACAGCAGAATAATATTAATGCTATTGGACCAGTGCTCTTGACTCAGAATGTGTATCAAAAAACTAAAACTACATCTACAACCACCGAGCTACCAGGTACATATTCCCACTACTTGTAGTGGTCCAGGCGATGGCTGTAGCTTGTCAATGCCATTTTCTATTTGCATGTACACGTTGAGAACCGTGTAAACTCTCGAACATTCGGCTCTGACAAGAGTCTAGACGTGAAGCGAATCTTAATTACATATTCTCACTATGTACTTAGTAGTTTGTAGATCAACGTTAATTATGGGATATGCTGTCAGAGTTCTGGATGCCGAAGTACAATGCCGTGAAAAATAATTAAGCAAATATAATAAATTCGGGGACGGTGACCATGTTATTGGTTTCTTCTTTTTGCTTGCTAACTTCCCACTAATTATTGTTGGATCACCCCGCTCTTTCGAAACTTTTGATTTCTACCATTCGTCTTCTTGTTCGCATTGTTCCTTTCTTTCTATTCACGCACGACATCCTTTCCCAAACATGGGCTGTGTTCAATCTACTGCCGTCGACAGCGAGGCCAAGGCTCGTGCGTATTTCAACACCACTCATCCGAACGAGACCTAACTTCAATTCGTCTTTTCTAGGCAACGATGAGATTGAAAACCAACTCAGACGAGATCGAATGATGGCCAAGAACGAGATTAAAATGTTGCTTTTAGGAGCAGGAGAGTCAGGAAAGGTCAGTTACGCACTGACCATTCCGAACACATCGCTGACGAACCATGTTTGCGTAGTCTACCGTCCTCAAGCAGATGAAACTCATCCATCATGGCGGCTACAACGACTCTGAACGAGATTCCTACAAAGAAATCATTTACTCGAACACCATTCAGTCCATGCGGTGCGTGTTATAACCGGTTGAAACTCCATTGTAACCCTGATGGGCCTTCTAGCGCCATTCTGGAGGCTATGCCTCAGCTTGATATATCTCTATCACCACAGAATGATGCTCGTCGTGCCGTAATCCTCGCTCTTCCCGGCCAAATTGAGGGCGATGTGCTTCCAAGGGATGTCGCTGACGCCATTCGAGGACTTTGGCGGGACTCAGGTGTCAAGGAAGCCGTTCGGCGGTCACGAGAGTTCCAGTTGAACGATTCTGCTGTCTACTACTTCAACGCAATTGATCGCATGTGCGGACCAGGGTACTTGCCAACGGATCAAGATATTTTGCGGAGTAGAGTGAAGACAACCGGTATCACTGAAACCACGTTCAAGGTCGGCGAACTTACGTACAAACTCTTTGATGTCGGAGGTCAGCGGAGTGAACGTAAGAAGTGGATTCACTGCTTCGAGAACGTCACAGCGTTGGTATTTCTGGTATCCTTGAGCGAGTACGATCAGATGTTATATGAAGATGAGAGCGTTGTGAGTACCGAGCTCCTTATTAGTGTATCTCCTTTCAGATTGATTACGTCCACAGAATCGCATGCAAGAGGCCCTGACTCTCTTCGACTCGATATGCAATTCACGGTGGTTTGTCAAGACATCAATTGTACGTACTTCTACCTCGTGGCGCATCACATACTTATTCCCTACACAGATTTTGTTCTTGAACAAGATCGATCTGTTCGCTGAGAAACTCCCACATTCACCGCTTGGTGACTACTTCCCAGACTACACCGGCGGCGACAACTATGATGCCGCTTGCGATTACTTGCTTCACCGCTTCGTTGCGCTCAATCAGAATGCGGCAACCAAGCAAATATACGCTCATTATACTTGCGCAACGGATACTCAACAAATCAGATGTAAGAACCCTCCCCTTACGCACGTGTTCTACACAGACTGACTCTGCCACCTTTTAGTCGTGTTGAGTGCTATCCAAGATATCCTGCTACAGATTCATCTTCGTGAGTGTGGTTTGCTGTGATGATATCATAGCACTACTCTTCTCCCTTTGGTATTTGTTTTATCCCATGCATCATCTGCCTCTCGCGCATGCAGTTCGCTCTACCAGCTTTCATCGCATCAGACATTCACACCTCTACATCTTGGCTATCCAGTTCTCTTATTTTGAGATCCCCACGTCTATCATCGTTCTGTGCGCTCTACTGAACATACACGTATCATGATGGGTTCGTAGGAGTGTTTTATATCGTTGTGTCATTTCCCTCTTCCTCTCTCATTTCTTTCTACCAAAACGTGGATTGAACAAAACCTAGTATACCCTTCTTATACGATTCCTATGTAATTGGAGACCTTATCTTGACCGCTCGTTAATTCTTTGGGATTGAATTTATCAGAATTTCAGGCAGTGCACCGGATGTTCCGGCCATGGGTGGTTTATTTTTGCCTAAATGATGCGACGCTAAGGATGATATTATTGTAAGACAAGATAATAACTCACATAGAGAACCCCATTAGGCATTCATCTGCACGCCATAGTCGGCGGCGGCGCTGGATCGTTGGGTTCTGTGAGATGATTGGGTTATCACAAGAGCGGTGCCCTGCTATGCCACTAGCAGGTTTACACCACCGGATCCAAGTATAGCTCAAATTTGATAAGTGACTGTCATGAGACCTTGATGTTCTCAATATTAATGGCGCAATGCTCTTGGAGTGGAAGCTGGCGACTGGTGGCGCATTATGATATCTGCGGAAGCCGTAAGCACCATTCCCGAGGAGGTAGTTAGGCGCCCATGTCAACGGGCAGGTTCAGCGCATTGCACAGGTATGGCAGAAGCTTATTCACCTTTCAAGCATAGTCGAACATCCATTTTTGTTCCAGACCATGCATCATGGGTCTGCTGATAGTTCCATGCCACTATATAGGGGGTATAGAACGCCACACAACCGCTGGCGAGCGGAACCATACCTACACGTGGCAGGTGATGATACTATAACTAGGATAGCGATGCAACAACTTGCTGGCGAACGACTAGATCAAATTTCTGTCAAAAGGTATTCGTGCAAATGCAAGATAAAGTTGTGATGCAATAGTACAAGTTCAAAGTTTGAACGACGATTAAAGCAAAATGATGGTCGGCGATAGAGCTCAGGGATTTATCGATTTGGATGATAGCTATAGATTAGCGAGATTAGAAACTGAAGTAGGCATATCGGTGACGCGTCCGACAATGTTGTAGCGTTTCCTGTTAAACGAAGATAAGCGCCATGACACGTTCGTCTAAGCGAACCTGTTCGGGACCTACTGGAAAAATAAGAACCAGTCGTTGAGAACGTTCTTCTCGTTCTCTGGTAGGTCGCTGTAGTCTGGTACAGCGTCCTCTGGTTTCAAACTGGACATTCCAAGTCCCTTTGAGCCGTCCTTCCCGGCAAAGATGTTGTATGATTTTCCGGGACCGTACACGTCGCTTTTACGTGTGACGTCAAAGACAGTGCCTACCAGAAGTAAGCAGGAGGATCATCACCTCATACAACGTGAGGACAAACCCCTAATGGATACATAGATCGGCTTCGAATTGTCGGAGCCGTCGAATTGCTTGAGTTGATCAAGGGTGAAGGGGTCATCCTTCGGGGGGTCAAGGTCATCTCTGGGTGGTTGCATGATGGTCTTAAGAGACTTCTTCTCTTCTGGTTGTGAGTCTACTGGTGGAGACTGGTGCGGTGGCGATAAGGTGCGTCGTTGTACAAAAAATAGAAGGGGCAAGGCCAGCACGAGCCCATAGATCACCACCAAAAACATGACCAGCTAACCACTCATTCGGCATTTGCCGCCATAACACTCTTTCCTGGTGGATTTGCGGAGCTTCAAATCTAACGATCATTGCTGTTGCATTGCTGTCTGCTTGGTTTCCTCAAAGCTTGTTGTCAGTCCAAGCACCACACATCCCTGGAATCCACTAGGATCCCTTTATTTATCTTTTCCCTTCAGCTTGGATAGTGCTTGTCAAAGTGCTATGACCATGGCAGTCACAGTAGCCACACTTCTCGACTATAAAGCTAGGTCGCGTCATGGTGGCACAAACCATCGTCTTGCAATCAGTGTGTCTACTGTATTTTCTTGTATCCATCATCATCACATCATCCCTAACGACTGTGCACCATAATGTTTCCGTTTTCCGTCCCAGTCTATGAACCACCTCCCTACGCCCTTTCAGGTCTCAGCTTTTCGCAGCTGCCGATGTACACACAACGTTACCTGCAATTCATTGCAAAATCGGTACCTCCTGATGTCCCTGAAGTGGACTCTATTTCGGACAAACGCTCAATTATATCAATGGCTCTCTTCAGGAGTCTCATAGGGAATGACATGGCCCTCGTTCGTCAGCGGGATAATGCCATCGCCATGGCCCGTAAACTTCGAAGAGGCATCCCACCTCAGGCTACTACACAATGGCACTTGGAAGAGCAGCTCACGCGCATCCAATTTGTCTTGGATACATTGCTGCCAGAGCGAGAGCTCATCTTCAACGAATTCATGATCAAGTTTGACGCGCTCGTCTGGCTAGATCAAAGAAGATGGGAGAATTGCACCTCTGAATCTTGGCAGAAGTACAGGGACGCGCTGCTGGAACCCATTCTTGACCGTACAAGCACACAGCTTACCAGGATCGCACAGGGCAAATCCATCGAGAATATGCACGTGATCAATGGATATACCTACCGGGCGCCTTCCTTACCATACTCGCCATCGGGTTCATCCCGTGCAAGCCGCGCACGATTCAGGAGATCTGCAGCCTGTGGACCTGAATTCAGAGAGGATCGGCACAGGGGATGTTAAGCCGGCATTCATAAAGGACTTAGGTATTATACTGTCTACAAATTGAACAATCGAACATTTCATTATGCAACGAAGCGCACTCATTAACGCTGTTACATACGTACTCCTATGTAGTTGCTTACACTAGGATGCCTGTACAGCATTGTAATCGTTATCTCTCCAGTGATGTGGAGTATTATGCCGTGTCTGTATGCCTCAAGTGGAAAGAAAATCCAACTGCTTCTTAATCCCCTGATCGACCTCGTAGTGGCAAATCGTCGGAATCAAAAACATTTCGGCACCATTCGACTCACAAAAGGTAAAAAGTTTGCTTCATCGTCAAGGTATCCTCTGTGCAGGGATGAGAAGTCGTCAATAATGTTATTGAAGAACAGGCAGCAGGCTAAATCGACAATCGATGGGGTATCAGAAATGGTACAATACAAACAGGTTTCGAAACCATCAGGTGATGTAAATTATTGCGAAGCTTGACCAAATTATGAAGGAAGAAAGAGTAAGGGAGATCGAATACAGTAATAACCAACGCTGCAGAAAGCGAAACAATATTGACATAGCATCTGGCGTAAACTAACAGGGGGACAATATTTGCAATGGATCGTAGGCGAAGAGGCTTTGGGTATGAGTTGTTGAATCCGAGATTGTTCATGGGCCACCCCGGAGAAGTGGAGGGAGCGAACAGTTGGGTGGCAGTGGTGCAGCAATATTGACGGAGTGGCAAGCCTCTGTCACCCGCTTACGCAAGTCGTCGCATTTGCTCAATAACACTAAGAATCCCGATCAGATCAGTGATGATGATGAGAAACATATCACTGACTTGGGCAAGGCCACAACGTATTCAGCACGTCGACTGGTACTATGACGTCCTTAGCAACTTCCAAAGCATCAAGAAGTGACTTGTCCTCCTCCCACAAAGCAAGACATCTGGTTTCCGTATTGAGCAGGCGAAGTCTCTAAATGCATGCTGGACCTACATTGCTACTTGGCTTGCAAACCAAGTAACCTGGAACGGCTGCCTGGTGAAAAGATGGCCGTCTTGATCCCCGAGATGGTGAATTGACATTTTAACTCTGCGGATGAAGAGGCTCTGGTAGTACACTGCCATTGCCAACGTCACAATCAATCAACACATCCTGAAAATAGAGCCACTTACGCCACTGCTCAGCCTGCTTACGATTGAACTGAGGGAAATTTCCAGCCTCTGCATGGCCACTAGATACGCCACCATCAGCATGTCTGACGTCATACCAAAAACAGATACTTACGCTCGTAAAATCTGGGTAATTATGATCTGTGTGCTGCAGCAAGTTATTATCATCAATGGAAAATACTAAGGGGACGAAATAGACGTACTTGTAGACGTACTCCCGACACATGTACAACAATGCCATATCGAGGTTGCAAGTGTGGGAATCCAAGGCATCCTGGATTTCAAGGGTTTCTGACCAAGCTTCAACCGCAAGGTCGGTTGTCTCTGCGTTGCTAAAAGCATTTTTCCGGAGACGAGTGGTACAGAAAATCCAAAGGAGCATGCTGCGGCAATAGAGCGCCCATATTGATTCTTTCGAAGACTGCGCCTTGTGCTCGTTGGACCCTCGTTGTGATATCTCACCAGGGAACAGTAACCGGAACTGTACAACTGTCAGCCTAAGCTAAATGCATGGACAAGGAACAAACATTAGAAGGATCGGTTAGGAAAAGATCGCTCGGCTCTTTCTGGAATGCGATGCAATGTGACGTGTACCTAGCCACGAGGTTAAGGGCGCTCCAACACAGCCTCCTGCAAGATTCCTTGTGCATCTCTTCAGGGGTCCATGAGGGATCCCAAGGTGGCGTGAAAGACCATGAGGACGAAAACTGCTCCGTAGCGATGGATGAATTTGGAAGGGGGATACAGTCACACTTGCGAGAAATTGCATGAGGAGTACGGACCCCGTCCTTAGACATTTGATCAAAGGGGCGGCGTCTGTGAGTGATGGGTACAGCGTTAGGGGTGAATGTCGACACGTCTGGTTCATTACTGTCCAAGAACGTCAAGCCTAATTGGCGGACAATTCCATCGAGATAGGCTAGAGAACGTCTCGCGCGTTCGGGTGTATAGAGTGGGTGAGCCGAGGACTCATACATAGCGATAATCTGGATAGAACGTAAGCGACAGCTGAGAGAAGAAACTGGAAGCACTTACAAGAGCAGCCTTAGCAAGGGTTATGTCTATCCATTGAGAATTCATTGACGCTTCCAGCCAAGCCTGCGCCTTATCGCGAAGCCAGACGGCGCGCTCCCGACCTGCAGACCCCAATTCCATCTCACTCGATTTCATTAGGGTTGCTAAAGCTAACCCCGCAAAAACAAGTGAAGGTTGCATAAGCGAACGTTCTTCAGGGTTGTATAGGCTGTGAACGAAGTCCGGAACATTCACGAATGATAACCAGTATCCGCTAGCGGTAAACCTTGACAAAGATTAAATCAAACTAATGGAGTCATCACTCGATGACCTACAATGTTGAGAGATCTGATGTTATGTCCTTTAAACTGATAAATAAAGCATAATTTAATTAGTCTATTCATGCAATCGATAATGCAAATGACGTACGACTGATCCCGAGTAGTGGAGTAGCTCATAACCAAATTATCCCACCACTCCTTGCGACTATATTGTACGGAGGGCGTTGATGTGATGCGGTACTTCTCCACTTGATGCTGGACAAATAGTGGTCAAGTCAAAAAAAAAATCAGCAGATGAAAAAACATGACGAGCTAAACGTACTGGATAACTGTCGTCTGAGGCTGCACGCGTTTGCATAGACGAAGAAAAATCAGGGCCAGCAGGTGAAAGTGAGGGCTGGAGTCGAATTCTATCCCCATCAGGCCGCAAAGCGGGAACATTGGCAAGCCCACGAGACTCCCGCGGAAGCTCGAAGTCGTCATTTCTGACCGAAGAGCGTTTCCGCTTGGACGGAAGGGAAGGAGGGGATGAGCCATCGGTCGGACGTTTCTTACATGAGCGCTGGCGAGTGCCTGGCCTTTTATCAGGCCCTCGCCGTTTAGGTGCTGCATCGTATTGGCACTCATTCGAGCGGCGCACACAATTATGACAAATTGGTCTCGTGGAGTCGCACCGAATTTTCCTCGCACGACTTAGGAACCACGTGAATGAGCAGCCTGAAAGAAGAATGAGGATGAACACACCATTGCCGACAAGCTATCACTTGATTGGAAATTTCTCTGCGGGGCGGATCTTGGGATGTAGATGCTGCTGGCTGTGGTTGAGGGGTTGACTCTGATATTGGGACAGAGGATCGAGTGCTCTCTGGAGTTTGTATTACAGGGGGTTGTGCTGAGCCACCACCTGAAGGGTAAGATTGCGGACGCAAGTCCTCGGCAGAATATCTTCGATTTGGGGGGCCTTGGTATGACAAATTTACGGTGCCGCCGTGAGCTGGAGGGGGCGGAAGGCGGGTGTTGGGGTAGGCATGGGGCGGTAGGTCAAGGCCAAGGTGATTTCTTTGTGAAAGAGGAAAGTCGGACTGATATGTATTGTGGTGGTGAGGATTCTGATTTGAATGAATATTCAAAGGGGTTTCGATGAGGTGAGGGTGCGAGTGGATGCTGATATTGGTGTAATCGAACTGAGAGGCTAGGATACCCGCTGCATGATGTATATCTAGTTGATCTTGATGATAGCGGACTTTATTGTGGACAACATGTGAAATGACGATTAACGTTGTTTTGAAAAGACTACGAGTTCTGATAGGACTTACTGTCTCCGTGCGGCTGAGGAAATTGAGCCCCGAAGATGGGTGAGTGTAGGCCGGAGCCATCCTCACTGGACTGAGGACCGTCCTCCATCATTACGCTTTGCGGAAATGGAGTGTAGATATCGCTGTCTGTGCTGATGACCATAAGTACTGAAAGAAGGGGGATGAGAGTTTAGAAGGAAAATGGAAAGTGGTAATACGGCACTGGTTTTCGATGCTTTGCCACGCGAGACTTAGTTGTAAAACTTGAAGGAGAAAGTGCTTGCTAAGGGGAACACATGCCCACGGCAAGCTCAATGATTATCAAATCTTGATACAATCATATTATGATACATTTATATTTTATATTTTATCCTTGAATATCTTTATGAAAAGGGGGAAAATCTTCCACCTCCTGGAATTCTTTTCCCTGGGGTGCAACTTGCTTTTTTCCATCATATTCATACCCACGACACAACTTCGGGGCCGCATGCACCGTGTACGCGTGCCTGGTTGTTAGGTGTTCCGAACAAAACTCTAATTATTTTCCTCAACTTTTGTTCTCAACCTGGCTCATTGCACAAATTACTAAATTTGAACACCCCTTCTTCTCATCGACTATCTTGCTCAATCTTGCTCAATTTTCAATATTACATGCCGCGTAGCCTCAATCCGGGTTATCTCCTTCAATATTATATTCACAGTCCTGCGCATTTGATTTTATTAAAAATTCATCATTACGGCCCCCGACCCTCTCTCCATTGTAGTGAAGACATATCCTCCCCCCACTGAGTCAAACTCTTCAGGGTCAGTTGACTCCCTTCATTCTGCTTGTCAATCGGACTTCCGACCGCACCTTCCCGCGACGATTAACGACAGTCAGCCTGATTGCGCCACGTCTGAAAACTTTAAAATTAGCCGGATAGCCGTGCTAAATTTGGAAGGTATCGTACACGGCACAAAAGACACTTAAGCGCTGTTAAGTTCCTCGTCGTAAATCTGCGATTGAGGGGATTAGATACCCTACGGTTGGATACCCCACACAGATGGCAGAGAACTGCGGTCACATCGCACCAAACTACTCATTTAGGCTGATTTTGATCGCGGCTAGACACGTCAGCGCGGGGGATTCTCTGGGATCTTGGTCTGTGGAGTCCCTTATGATTCGTTACTTACGTCAAATCCTATCCTGGTCATATAGGTGCGATCACCGTCTCTCGTTAGGCCCATGCTGAACGTTCTACTACTCCAACTAGAGGACGGCAAAAGTTCACCGTAATTTTCAATGCCACTTCACGAAAACATACTAGTACTGCCATCGTTACAAATGAGATTAGTACCCGTACTATTTACGGCTCGGGTGCCTGTCAGAGGGCAACGGGGTACACACAGTGCAAGGCTTTTCTTTAGAGCTACCGTCGCGAGCCTTC